GTTTACTTTTGGTACTCTTAATGCAAGGTGGGTCATATGCAGCCACACACATTCATGTACTGTTGTCTATGGTTATTTTCTAGGGTTTTTTTTTTTCTTTTTTCTACACTGCAACAGTACAACAGGGCTTGTATGACCTACAAAGCTTAAAATATTTCCTATCAGGTCCTCTACAGAAAAAGATTTCTGGTCCCTACTCGCAAGAAATAATAGCCAGGAGGTTGGGTGAAGTGAGTGTCCATTCCCTTTTTGGTGATTTTGGGGGGTGGGGGGGCTACAAAGGAGGCTTATGGAAATAACTGTGGGTGAAGGGACTACTATTTTAAAACTAAATGCTCTATGTTAGGAAAATTAAAAGTATTTTACAAACATATTAGCAAGTGGTTCAGCAAAACATTATGTTGTTTTTGTGTGGGGAATGCCATATTTGAATTGACATATATAAAGAAAACAGATTCCACCGAGCTCATTTTGACAAATGCAAGACAATAGGAATATCCAGTTTGATATAAAATATGGTGGAGAAAGTAGGCTCTTTCTGGAACATTGTACAAAATAAAAAATGAAATTCATCAATTTATATTAATACAATATAAATATATAATTATTGTTTATGATAAACCATTGTAAAACACCCTTTTTATAGGTCTTTAGAAATATCCACAATATGTTTATACCAGATTACACCATAGTAGGCGCAGAACTGCCTGTCAAAAGACAAATCTTCTCAAGACAAATCTGGTCAAATAACATATTTTAATGTCAACAATGATTTTATTGTCTAGCTCATCAGAGTTATACTTTGAAATGGCAATAAATTTCTCTACATTCTTTATTTTGAATATTGACTTAACGTGCTTGTCAAGTCTTCATCTAATTTATACTATTTATAGTTGATTCTTCAGTCTTTTCTTTAGGTATACTTAGCATACAACTTGAAGAAAACATAGACGAAAAGCTTCATGACATTGGATTTGGCGGTGATTTCTTGGATATGACACCAGAAGCACAGACAAGAAAAGAAAAAATAAAGTGAACTTCATCAGAATTAAAAACTTTTTAATCAAAGGACAGCATCCACAAAATGAAAAGGCGATCTATAGAACCAAAGAAAATATTTGCAAATATATAGTTAATAAGGGTCTAGTGTCCAGAATAAAGATCTACAACTCAGCAACCAAAAAAAGAACAACCTAATTTAAAAATGGGCAAAGGACATGAAGAGACATTTCTCTAAAAAAAGATATACAAAATGTCAATAAGCATATCGAAAGATTCTCAGCATCACTAATCAATAAGGTAATGCAAATAGATATCACTTCATGCCCATTATACTAGCCACATATGAAAGAAGGAAAATAAGTGTTGACAAGGATGTGGAGAAATTGGAACCCTTGTGCATTGCTGGTGAGAATGTAAAATGGTGCGACCACTGTTGAAGATAGTATGGTAGTTCCTCAAATAATTAAACATAGGCACCTGGGTAGCTCAGTCAGTTGAGCATCAGACTCTTGATATCGGCTCAGGTCGTGGGATGGAGCCCTGGGTCTTGGGATTCTCTCTCCCTCTGCCCCTCTCCCGCTCATGTTCTCTTTCTAAAATAAAATTAAAAAAAAAAAATAGACATAGAAATTTCATATGATCCAGCAATTCACTTTTAGGTAAACATCCAAAAGAATTGAAAGCAAGGACCCAAATAGTTGTATCCCAGTGTTCACAGCAACAGCATTCACAATAGCCAAAAGGAAGGTGAAAGTAACATAGGTGTCCTTTGATGGATGCATTCATCCTTATCCATTTGCTTACCCATTGATAGGCAAAATGTGGTATATACATGCAGTGGAATATTAGCCTTAAAAAGGACTGAAAATCTGATATATGCTACAGCATAAATGAACCTTTAATACATTACACTAAGTGAAATATGTAAGTATAGGTAACGTGAAATAAATTCATAGTGGCAAAGTAGAACAGTGGTTATGGGAAGTCAAGGGAAGGTAGAACAGGGAGTTTTTGATTCATACAGACTTTCCATTGGGATGATGAAAAGTTGTGATGGTTGTACAAGATGAATATATTTAATGCCCCTAAATTACACATTTTAAAAATGGCCAAAATGGTAAGCTTTGTTATATATATATTTTATCACACACAAAATTGTGCATATACTCTTATAACCACAAACCAATAGCACGCTTCTGCAAATGTTGGTTTAAGAACATCAATAATAGTAACAAAGATAACAGTTAACAAAAAAAATGGAAAAAGGAAAATTATCTCAAGTCATCAACCTAACATTACACCTAAGGAACTAGAAAAAGAAGAGCAAACTAAGCCCAAAGCTGGCAGAAGAAAGGAAATCAAAACTAGAGCAGAGGTAAACAAAATCGAGAACATAAAATCAAAGAAATGGAAAATTGGGGCGCCTGGCTGGCTCAGTTGGTTAAGCATCCGACTTTGGCTCAGGTCATGTTCTCATGGTTCGTGGGTTGGAGCTCCACGTCGGGCTCTGTGCTGACAGCTAGCTCAGAGCCTGGAGCCTGTCTTCAGAGTCTGTGACTCCCTCTCTCTTTGACCCTCCCCTGCTCATGCTGTCTCTCTCTCTCTCTCTCAAAAATAAATAAAACATTTTTAGAAATTTACTAAAAAAACAGAAAATTGGTTCTTTGAAAAGATCCCCAAAAGACAAATCTACAGCCAGACTAAGAAAAACAGAAGATGCAAATAACTAAAATCAGAAAGTGGGGAAATTAGTGCCAACCTCCTAAGTAAAACAAAAAGGAATAGTACTTCAACAAATAAACTAGATGAAATGGACAAATCCCTGGAAACACACAAATGACCAAAACTGATTCAAGAAGAAATAGAAAATGTGAACAGGCCTATAACAGATTAAATTGGTAATTAAAAAAAAAAAAAACTTTACAATGCCATATAGTCTTATGAATATAGATTTCAAAGTTCCTCAACAAATTCCCAGCCAACTGCAACAGCACAGTAAAGGGATTATACACCATGACCAAGTGGTATGTATCTCAGGAATGTAAGGGTAGTTCAACATAAGAAAACCAATGTAGTATATCATACACACACACAATGTATATCCTATGTATATGATATACACATACATAAAAGGACAGAAAGGAAAAACCACATGATCATTTCACTTGATGCAGAAAGAGCTTTTGATAAAATCCAACACCCTTTTATGATAAAAAGCACTCAGAAAAATAGGGATCAAAGAACTGGAATAAGAATAGAGGAATAAGAACTTCCTCAACTTTATAAGCATTTATGGAAACTCCCACAGCTAACACCATACTCAATAGTGTATTACTAAAGGCTTTCCTTTTAAGATCAAAAAACAAGACAAGGATGCCCACTTTTACCACTACTATTCTACATTATACTGGAAATCTTAGCCAAAGCAATCAGTCATGAGAGAGATAGAAAAGGAATCCATTTTGGAAAGGAAGAAGTAAAACTGTTCACAGGTAATGTTATCATAAACACAGAAAATTCCAGGGGTGCCTGGGTGGCTCAGTCGGTTGGACATCCGACTTTGGCTCAGGTCATGATCTCAGTTTGTGGGTTCAAACGCCCACATTGGGCTCTGTGCTAACAGCTCAGAACCTAGAGCTGCTTCAGATTCTGTGTCTCCCTCTCTCTCTGCCCCTCCCCTCGTGCTCTGTCTCTGTCTCTCGAAAATAAATATTAAAAAAAAATTCCACGCAATCTACAAAAACACTAGTACTGATAAATTCAGCAACGTTGCACAGTATATCAATGCAAAAATTCACTTGTGTTTGATTTTGAATATACAACTCAAAAGCAAATTAAAAAAATTCCATTTGCAGTGGAATCCAGAATATCTGTAAATGAATTTATCCAAGAAGGTGAAAGACTTGTAGTGAAAACTGCAAAACATTGCTGCACTAAATGAAAAGACATCTGTGTTATTATGGGTTGGAAGGTAATTTCATTAAAAAGGCAGTACTATCCAAAACAATCTATAGATTCACTGTGATCTCTATCAAAATTCCAACAGCCTTTTTTGTAAAACTGGTGTGCAATATTCAAATGTCAAATTAGTTCTTATCATTAAATGATAACTTTAAGCAACACAAGACTAGTTATAATGAAATGTTAAATTATCTGGTATATGCTGAAAGTGCTGTAAGAAGTTGAGACAGGATTGAATGATTCTGTGTTTTCTCATTTAGGGTCAAGTGATTAAAGTACAAATACCAAGCTGATAAGGACCGTGTCTTTTGAAGCTTTAACAGAACTACACTGATTCTCCAGTCTCCATCACACTTGTATGGGTGCCTTTGTCCTCCACCCTTTAAATGCTCTTACATATCAAGTACTGCTCCTCTACATATCAGATTCCTATACAGTCTTAATCTTAAATATTTCACAATATCTACCAAGGAATGAAAACTTTATAATATGCCTAAGAGAAAAGATTTTGCAATCAAGCAGATCAGAGCCTGTGAGCAAACTGCTCCCTCTATACTTTAGTTTCCTCATCTGCAAAACAAGACCAATAGGGTTGTTACAAGGATTAAACCAAATTATTTATGTAAAGCATCTACAACAATACCATGTACACTATAAGCTCTAAATAAGAGCCAGGTAAGTTTGTAACATACCAAAATTGGATGTATAATTACGGTCTTCATTTTTTAAAGAACATGAGGAAGCCTACCCTACTTCTTAGCTTGCCATAGCTATTCAAATTCAAAGTTGTCATAGATAAAATTTTGTATAAGGCCTTGAACCAGGGTTGTTTAAGAGGTCACTACAGCTTTATGAAATGTTCTGTTGCAATCGTTTTTTAATAATAGGAGAAACTAAGAATAGAAATTTGTCCCTTTCTTGTGTTCTTTCCAGCTAGAAATGCTAATAATTTACAAGTAAAGGAATCGAATAGCAATGTAAAGTTCATTTGTTGTTCAATTTGTTGCATGGAGTACAAGATGGTATAACAATACAACGATGCAAGAGAAGGAATTTATTTTGTTGTGTTAAAAAAAGACAAATTCACTGTCAGTATCACTAAAAGATAAATGGCATTTCCATAATTTAGAGTATGACCAAAGCACACAGGCCATCAGAAATGATATACAAACTTCTGAGGGTAGCAGCTTCCAAATGAAGTATTTAAGATACTTTCAGTTATAATGATCAGTAAAACGAAAAGCTTTAGCTTCTGACATATATAGGTGGCTCTGCAATTGTTTCGAATGCTTCACTTCTAGTCGGAGCTGCCTAGTTCTTTCTCTGACAGCCTGTTGCTCTGCTAGTTTTTCGATCCGTTTCCTTCGTAGCCATCTGCAGAAAAAGATAGGATCAGAACTGATGAGTATAAACCTCTTTTTGCTATAAAGTTATTACTACAGGCTATTAAAGGAAATTGAATTTCTTTACATGGAAATGCTATAGTCACAACAAAAATTATTAAAGTGCTAACTGAAAAATCTCAGGCTTATTATCTCCTACGCTCACACAAGAAAGCATAATCACATTTGCAATCAAATACTTAAAATTAAGTCTCTTACGATGAAACTGCCAACTAAAAAAACTGGGTTTTTAGTAATAAATACAATATTTCACATGTGATATTGTCCAATTCTTTTTTTATATGATTTTCTAAGCAGTCAATTATTTGATAGATTCCAAATGACTTATTTTTTGCAACTAGTTGTATTATAAAACATGGCTCAGTTAGGTTAAGATGCCACCATACAGAAATGCTGCCTTGTCACCTGGGATGTGCACTGGGTAGTCTATGTAAGTGACGAATCACTGAATTCTCCTCCTGAAACCAGTATTGCAGCGAATGTTAACTAAAATTTAAGTTGAAAAGAAAAAAGGAAAGGAAAGGAAAGGAAAACTAAAGAAAGGTTACCTTGCTCTTCTGGTAGATATTAACATGCTCTAAGGTGAAGGAAGAGTCCACATTCCAACCAATTTGAATCTATAAACCTTGCTTAGGTAAAATAACCCCCAAATAACACACATATGAAACTGGGTATGTGGTGTGTGTGTATGTGTGTGTATGCACGCTTGTTTTCAGAAATAACACTGAACACCAAATAACTGTCAGAATAGAATAGATTTAAGCATATAAGCCAATGTTACATGGTCCTGGATTAGACACTAAACTTGAGAAAATTAACTATAGTCACTTGGGGGTCAACTGGGAAAAAACATGATTCTGGACTGGATATTAGATGAAATCATTAATAAAAATAAGCAGATTACAGAACAGTATAACCAGTGTGATCTCAATTTATATTTTAAAATTATAAATATATGTATGGAGAAAAAGGTATGCACTAAGGTACTAACAGTGATATCTGGGTGATGAAAATGTGACTTTTCTGATTCCATTTCCACAATGCATATTTACTGCTTCTGTTATGATAAAGAATTATATATGTTTAAAAAAAATGAAAGGAAGAAAGAAACACAGGAACGAAGAAAAAGACAGTGAAAAAGACAGAAAAGAAAGGAACTTCAAACAACCAGACCCCTTCCCTCTCCCAAGGCCCGCTGGCAAAATTCTGTAACCAGGTCTGTTTCCTCACAATGAGTCAGGTGACATGGAGTCTCAACCAGGGAACTGAAAAGGTCAGGTTTGCCTTGAATTACCAAAACATGTGTCCAAATCTCTTTTTCGATTTGGTTTGTACAGATCTTCCTCCTCAGCCTGTCTTTCTTTCTTTACGGAAAAATATTTCTTGGGAAACGCAACTCTTTATTCAGTGTTTCTGAGGAGTATGTAAGAGAAGCTGTGAACAATCTTTGGTTCATTTCTCTAAGAACTGAACAAAAAATAAATAAATAAATAAATAAATAAATAAATGGTAGGCTATCAAAGGTTATCAGATTGGCGAAATATAAAATACTTTGAAAATATCTTGAAGAAGGGTGCCTGGGTGGCTCAGTCAGTTAAGCGTCTGACTCTTGGTAGCAGCTCAGGCCATGATCTCAACATTCGTGAGACTCAGCCCCACATCGAGCTCGGAGGCTACTTGGGATTCTGTCTCTCTCACTCTGCCCCTCCCTGCCACTCTCCAAAAACAAATAAACATTAAAAAAATAGAAAATATCTTGAAGAAAGAAAGAATGGTGTATAGATACAATGCATAGTATGGAGCTAAAGAGTTTTCTCACAGTTTTAGAAGCATGGACATAAAATTGAATAGATATGTAATAGAACCGATAAAATATTCTGTGGTATTTTTTTCAAGCTTTCTTGACTATACAACTCCCTAAATGACTGTGAGGAAAGGGGAAACACGTCTGTCTGTGACTTACTGTTTAAAGGCCCTTTCGCGGCCTTCTGTCCCTTTAAGGAAGAATAAGCATTCCTCCTGCTTCCGTAGTTCTTCTGTCTTTCTCTCTCTCAGCTGCTCTTCATGCTTTTTTTTAAGCCATAATCGAAAAGCTTGTTGTGGATCTCTGTTTTCCTGCTGATTACAAAAATAAGCTTTATTTAATTTTAAATACACCAAAACTCCTTTTTGAGGCCTTGCCTATAGAACCCCACAAGAAAATGTGTTCCACTCATCAATTTTTCTTAATAATGCCAATCTCACTACCCGCACTCCTAGCATCCAAACAAAATACATCTCCTGGGACTCAGCGACACTGATTGCCCTCTCACAGAAAATCCAACACCATTCACTGCCATCTGGCACCTTTCAAAAGCCTTACTGAGATAATCAAATGAAGAAGGTTTAAAGGCAGTGATTTGCAAACTTTTCAATGATGAGCGCTTTGATAAATATAATTAATTTTTCACAATGGCACAAAAAATAAAACAGGCTGAAGAAAGACTGAGATAGGCAGTATGAGTGGAGTTGAAGTCTTTGTAGCAATTCCTGAAGGAGCTCCCTGGAATGCAGTTTGAAAAGTGATGATCCAACACTTCTGTTATTCATCCTTTCTTTTAAATTCTATCTTTGTTTTTAACGTTTAAGAGTGTCTAACTACGAAGCCCAGCTCCAAACTGTAATCACTCTTAGGCAGGGCGGCCAAAAGGGTTTGCAACCATAAGATGTTTCTCATCGGGATAACAGCCATGATGATCTTGTCAGAAGCCAGTGGGAGAACCTTATTGTAGAGTTCCTTCATGATGGACACTATCTTCAGGGAATTTTCAAAAGCTGAAAGAGCTCTTCTGTGGTAGAATAAAGAACGCAAAGGGACAGATTTGGCGTGAGGGGAAAGCACGGCTCATCATACAGCTGCCTGGCTAAAATGCAAAGGACCTTTTCCTTTATGCATTCATTTAATACTTCCCCCAAATATGAGCTCTATGATAGAGAGGACCACTTCCTTCATCTTGCATTTTACTTTATCTATTACTCCCATTGTCGAGTATGTTCCATTTTAATTTATACAATTTACGTAACCTAGGATCTTTGATGTGCAGTGCGGAAGCTTGTGAGGATGACCCATGGACCTAAGGACCACAGATGAACACCTAGAAGTCTGGGAAGGGCTGGAGATGACTAAAAAGGGTTCATTTTGGAATTCGAGATCAAAAGAGTCAAGGATTCAGAGGTGAATAGGGTTTATTGGTATCTCTGTTCATTTATTCATTCAGCAGACACTTACAGAGTATCCACCACACAGAGAGCATACAGGCCCACTGGTATGGGGCTGCATTAATGAAAAGAACAAGGTTCCGTCTCTCGTACATTCTGTGATTGCACTGTACAATAGAGTGGTCCTAGTTACACGAAGCTACCTAAATAATATTTAAAATTCAGTACTCACTCACATTAGCTACATTTCAAGTGCTTTTTAGCCACACTGTGGCTAGTGGCTACTTTACTGGACAGCACAGATATACAGCATTTCCATCATCACAAAAAGTTGTACTGGGCAATGTTATTCTAGATGAGGAGATGAAAATAGATGACTGATTGATATGTCAGATTCAAGAAAAGTATGGTAAGGAGAGAGGGGAATGTGGAGGGAGGTGACAAGAAAGATGGTATGTGGACAGAAAGTGAGGGAGTAAGTTATTGGATATCTGGAGGAAGAGTATTTCAAGCAGTGGTAACAGTGAGAGCAAAGAATCTGAGAAGAGATTCTGTTTGGTATGTTCAATAAACAGCAAAGACGTGAGAGTGAAGCTATGGCTAAGTGGCTGGAAAGTGGCAGGAGATGAAGTCAAGAAGGCCACGGTAGGCGATGGTAGGAACACTGGATTTTATTTTGAGATGAGAAGCCATTGGAGGTTTCTAAGCATACCTGACACAATCTATTCTGCCGATCCTCTCTCTCCCTCTCGCTCTCTGCCCCTCCCCCGCTCATGCTTGTTCTCCCTCTCTCACAATAAATATTTTTTAAAAAAGAAACTGAATTGTATTCTTTAAAAATATGTACCATGCTGAACATAATTTATTTCAACAAATTTTCATGTTAAAAGGCATCATGGTTATGTATTTCCCTTTGGAATGTTTATTTTTTTCTTTATTTGCAGTCTGTCTCAAAAATTAACTTTAACGAGGAACTATATCATAAATGAATATAGAACAAAATTGTGAATTTTGTCACTTTGAATTTGGACGCTTAACTGCCTGAACCCCCAGGCATCCTCAATTCACAGTTTCTGTTTCTTATCCCCAAATAGGACACAATAGAACACCGAAGTGTATGCTTACTTTTACAGATACCCCATAAAAATGTTAGGGTTAGGTTAGGCTGAAGGCCATGAAGCCTGAGGGCCCCCATCCCCTGGGACACTATCAGCAGTGCACTCACAGCTGTGTTTTTCTTGGTCACCGAAGAGTAAGCTCCTCTGGTCTCCAAGCTTCTCGACATTACAGCAATGTGCCCTGAGTTCCCTGCTTCCCTCAAAAACTTTTCTCCTTTATCCCTTGTAATTCCTATTCAAAGATACACAAACTGCTAAACATGCCCATTCTCACAAGATACCGAAAGGGCCTTGGACTTAAACCTCCTGTTTTACCCAAATCCTGATTCTCCCCCAAGACACAGTCTTCCTCTCCCAAATCAAGTACTTCACCAGTCAGGTGAAGAAGTTAGCACACACTCCTTCCTACTCTTTACAACTCTATTCCTCTATGCTTTTAAGTAAAGCCACACCCATCTGATATTCACACTCTTTGGCTCTCTTAATTTCACAACACCCAGGCTCACAGATTTCTCATTTTCTCTCCTTCCAGGACTTTCTCCAGGGCACTTGACACCCAGTCCTTCAGCCACAGCCACACCCCCTCAGACTACTTGGTCTCTGAAATCACTCATTCTCAACACTAACCATAAATTACATCTCTCCAGTCAGTTTTCAACATCTTCACCTGGATATTTCGTAGGTACCTCAAGCTCAACAAGTGAAAAACTTGAAATAATAGTTTCCTCCATCAGTGTGTTATTCTCTGCTGCTCCAGTGAGTGGCACCGTCTTCCACCAAGTTGCTCAGAAGAGAAACCTGGTATATTCTCTTTACACCTCATTCTCCCTCACACACATATCTAATTAATTACAAATTCCTACAGTCAGTACTTCAAAATACCTTAAATGATGCACATCTCTCTCCCTTCCTTCCTCCCCCTCCCTCTCCTCCCTCCCTCCCTCTCCCTCCCTCTCTCTCTCTCTCTCTGTCTCCCCCACTCATTACAATTCTAGCCCAAGTCACTATCATTTCTCCCTCATATACAACTACATCTGCTTTTTAATTGCTCTCCCCACATCTGCTCTTGCCCCTTCAATCCATTCAGTCATAATAGTTCAGTGGAGACTATAAACAGAAAACTCACAGAATATACACATGGTCATATGTACTCATGCCTATTATTAACCTGAAGAAAATTAAGAAGATAAACCACATAAAGTGTTAGTCAGGATGTGGTAAAAATTCACTCTTACACACTGTTGGAGGGGCTATAAATTGATACAACCTTTTGGGAGGTTAATTTTTGTACATTTAACTAAAAATTTCACTCTGGACATCCAATGAGTCATAAATTCCACTCTTCAGAAACTCTCCTACAGAGTGAACATGTTCACTACAGCACTGTTAATGCACAGAACAACACTGGAGCCAAACTGAATACCCACAATTGAGGAGTTAATAAATTATCTCTGAACAGAACACTCTGCAGCTACCTGAAAAATATACCTAAATGAGGGGCGCCTGGGTCGCTCAGTCAGTTAGGCATCCAACTTCGGCTCAGGTCATGATCTCAAGGTCCTTGAGTTTGAGCTCTGTGTCAGGCTCTGTGCTGGCAGCTCAGAGCCTGGAGCCTGTTTAAGATTCTGTGTCTCCCTCTGTCTCTCTCTACCCCTCCCCCACTCACACTCTGTCTCGGTCTCTCAAAAATGAATAAATGTTAAGAATTTTTTTTTAAAGCAAGGGAATCAAGAGCAAAAATAAACGAATGGGACCTCGTCAAGATTGAAAGCTTCTGCACGGCAAAGGAAACAACCCACAAAACTAACAGGCAACCAACGGAATGGGAAAAGATAGTTGCAAATGACATATCAGATAAAGGGTTAATATCCAGAATCTATAAGGAACTCACCAAACTCCACACCCGAAAGACAAACAACCCAGTGAAGAAATGGGCAGAAGATATGAACAGACATGTCTCCAAAGAGGACATCCAGATGGCCAACAGATATATGAAACAATGCTCAGCATCCCTCCTCATCGGGGAAATACAAATCAAAACCACACTGAGATACCACCTTACACCAGTCAGAGTGGCTAAAATGAGCAAATCAGAGGACTCTAGATGCTGGCGAGGATGTGGAGACACGGGCACCCTCCTACACTGTTGGTGGGAATGTGAACTGGTACAGCCCCTCTGGAAACAGCGTGGAGGTTCCTCAGGAAACTAACAATAGAACTCCCCTAGGACCCAGCAATAGCACTGCTAGGAATTTACCCAAGGGATACAGGAGAGCTGATGCATAGGGGCACATGTACCTCAATGTTCATAGCAGCACTCTCCACAATAGC